CTCAATACAAAGGAGGAGGCCCTTCCCTCTAGTTCTGAGCTGGCCACAACGATCCTTAGCCTGGCCCCTCCCATCTGGACAGCTGCCCTGAGCCCTCTGGGAGGCTACCTTGGGAGACCGCCCGGGAGTTCCAACTGGCCCCAAATCCAAAGAAGGCAGGCAAACCATCTGGAATGCATTGTCCAGATCAGCTCTGCATTGCCCAGGCACCCTGACAGCTTCTTGGGTCCATGTGAGGCTTGGATTTAATCCATCAAGTGCTCTCCAGACAGAGGCTTCCAGACATCCCTTCGACTCCTTTCAGAATCTGGATTCCAAGAGAGGTACAATTAGACCTGCTAGTCACTTCCAAGTTTGGCTTTCTCAGGGAAAGGACCAAGGTGTGCTCCGAGAGACACTTTCCAGCAGCTCTTGGCCTGGTAACAAATGAAGGGAGGGAGCAGCTTGGCAGGAGGCCTCTCTCGGGGTCCTTTGCATTCCCACTGCAATATGCCAGCCATCCATCCAGCCCTGACAACTGACACTTATTTGGCAAGGATAAAGAAAATAATCCCATTCCACGACACTTTGGGGAGCCTTTTAGAAGTGGCAGCCTGTCTTTCCACACTCTCTCTACACCATGAAAAGTCTACTTGGGAGAAATGATGGGGTGAAATCTGGGAGGAGGGGACGGGGTCGGGAAGGCATTTGGAATGGTCCTTAAATACAACTTAAATAAAAAGGATTGAGGGTTTATTTTTTTCTTCTTTAAAATTGTAAATCCCTGAAAACGATAGGTTGATTACAGTTTTTCTTCTAGGACAGTACACACTTTGCTGGTATGCGAACAGTATCGAATGGCTCATTTATAAAGCCCCCACCTTCTCCCTTTCTCCATGATTCTGCTCCTTATTCATTTCTTCGTTGATAAGAAAAATGCTTATTTTCCCCTAAGTCTCTCATCAGGGAGCAGATTCCAAGGTAATTGGTCCCAAGTTGAAGAGAATCTACTGTGTCTCAGATCAGACCAGTTCCCTCAAATAGCCAGAGTGACAGTCTAGGTAGATTTTCTTTGTATCCACTCCCAAATAACCACACAGAGACTTAATGTTAATTATAAATGATCAGCAGGTAGCTTAGGCTTGTTTCTAGCTAGCTCTTATAACTTAAATTAGCCCATTTCTGTTATTCTGTGTGCTGCCTGGGGCTCATTTACCTCATCTGCGAACTTCCCGTGTTCTTTCTTTGGGTCTGGCTCGCGACTCCTGAGACTCCACCCATCTTCTCCCTCGCGTTCTCTCCACCCCCAAAAACCCACCTCGTCACTGGCTGTTTCACTCTTTATTAAACCAATCACAGTGACACAGTCACACAGTGTAAAGGAACATTCCACATGGCGGTGAATCTCAGACTTCTCAGCATCCTCTCAAAGCTGCTTTCGAAGCTTCCGGTATGCCTCGCAAGCAGGGATAAGTTCCATGTCCTGGCCTGCATCACGCTCCTTTGGGTGCTCCCTTCCTGTGTCTCCCAGCACCACCGGTGAGTACTGCCGACTCTGATGTCCAGCACCCGGCAGCACGTGCCCGGCTAGAGCTGAGAAGTCGTGTTGTGAGCTGTGCACAGGTCTCAGCAGATGTGAGCTGGAGCAGGTCACACTTCCGGTGTATATCGTCCTCCTCTCCCACATCCATGTCACCACAACAGCTGCACAGGGATATCAATATTTGGAGCAAGGGGAAGCCGAGTTGTCTCACAGCAGACAAACTGAACAGGCAGAGAAGGAATCTCTTCTTCAATACTTTCCCTCCTCTGTGCCCCCCAGGCTACTCTAAACTTCCCCAGGACCCTCGCTTGGATTTTCTCCATCACCTCCAGTCACCAACCAGTTCTTTCTTTAAAGTTTTACTTATCATTATTCGTGTGTGTGTGTGTGTGTGTGTGTGTGTGTGTGTGTGTAAATAAGTGCAGGTGTACATGTGTCAGAGTGTGTGTGTGGAAGTCAGGGGGTGGGTGCAACTTTCTGGAGTTAGTTCTCCCCTTCCACTGTAGTATTGAACTCAGATCATCAGGCTTGAGTGGCGAGAGCTTTCGTCTGCTGAGTCATATTGCCAGCCCAACCAGTTCTTAATACAGAATGATTTAGCTGACTCCGTCTTGTTCTGGACCACCGTCTTCCAAATCAAGGGAGCCGTGCAAGGCATTGCTGTCGACAGATCTCGTTTATTCCTTCTCCCCCCTGAGGAGAACCACCTGAAGCACTGGCCTCTAGAGGAAGCCGCTGTGCCGGATCTCCCGGGCAAAAAGAAGTAGAGGATGTGGTGTTGGTGATGGGGCTGGGACCTGCTCCACTGTAGAAACCAGTCCTGGAAGTGACAGTGACAGGCAGGCAGGCAGCTTAAGGCCACACTCACCTTGGATTCCATGCCAGGCTGAGTCTGAGCTTTCCAGTTTGGTTGGCAGAGCACAGCCCAAGGGAATTAAGAGGCAGTTAGGGCCTCAGAAATCCGCTAGGTAGACAGATGTCATGTAGAAGTTTGCTTGCCAGATGCAGGACATAGCCATCAGGTTTGAGGGTAGGTAAATGTTCTAACCCAGGAATGAGACCAAGAGAAAAAAAGTTCACTATCGCCAGCCACTCCCCCCAGCCCACCCCTTCTAGCCAACCCTCACCCTCATCCACCCCAGCCCCACCACCATGGATGACCATTCAAAGTAGAATTCCAGCTTTAAGAAAGGTAGGGCAATAAAGTGAAATGTCAGACACCAAGGCCAAAGCTTTCAGTAAACATGGGGGCTGTAGAAAGAGTTACAGCGCAGGGCCAGTGGGTATTACTCAGTAGTCAACGCAGCCCTCAGATCTCAGATCTCCAGTTCCCCAACGAGGACAGCAGGGCAGCAAAGCAGATGCAAGGCTCGGCTCTTAGGAGTGGACACTCAGCTATGGCAACGCTCTTGGACTCTCAGCACCATTGGCTAGCGGATGGAGGACCAGATGGGGCTATTTACGTACTCAGCCAGCAGAGCGGGCTATGTTGGGAAGGCAGAGGAAAAGGAGCCAGCATATGAGATGGTCATCTTCAGTCATAAAGGGTAACATTTATGATTAAAATAGCACCTTGCTATTTTAATTCTGGTCTCGTGCCAGCCTGAAGTCGTAGAAGAGATCCCACAACATGAGTCCAGGTATCTCTGGGCTGGGCTAGCTGAAGCCAGTTACCAGTTTGGGACCCCTAGACATGTCTTTTCATTCACTTTTGGGGTTCATTTTCCTCATTTGTAGAAATCAGGAAGTTAAGCTAAACTAAAGGTTTTCAAAGTGTCCTTCTGAAACGGACAATATCAATGTCACCCAGTGGCTTATGAGAAATGCAAGTTCTTAGGCCCTGCCTTAGTTCCAAGAGATCAGAAACACTGAGAGTGAACCCCAGAAACCTGTGATTTCACAAGCCTCCAGGTGGTTCGGAGCCCAGCAAAGTCTGAGACACCATAGCCTAAATAATTCTAAATCTGCATGCCCAGATGCCTCTGCATCTGCCAGAAGAGCTGAAAGGCGCCCACCCCTGCCCTCGCACACACAGACACCCCCGGAACAGGTCTCAGTACACAGCCTTTCTCTTTAGTCTGTTGCTAAGCCAAGGCTGCCTCTGCAAGGGATGGATTAATGCTCCAGCCAGCCAGTTAGAGAGGATACAACGTTCTTGTCTCCTTTACCTCCTGCCCAATTAGCCGGGGGTAACTTAGGAAGATTTACTCTCTTCCACAAGCAAGGTCACAACCTGAGGTTGTCATAGAAGCCAGCTTCCACCCCGGCTCTCCCGAGGCTGCAGCAGCGGATTGGCTAGTAGGCAGATGGCTCTGCCTGGTAGCAGGGATTTAATAGGCAAGGCGATGCAGGGAGGGGGACCAAAGGGGAGGAATAGCTAAGCCTGTTGCCTTCTGCTTAAAAAAAAAATTTATAGGTCTATTTATAACCTGTCTTGTTCCACAAAGGATTTCAGGCGGCTGCCTTCCTTGTTGGAAAATCCTTGATGCCAATACTTGGCATCTGATACCAAGGACTTCCTGGCTCAGAGGGGGGGGGGGCAAGTCTTTGTTTATTCGGTCTCAACAGAGCACACAATGGGTACCCTAGGCTTTGTGTTTTAGGATATCCATCTTCCTGTATCTCCTTTCTTCCTGCCCGTCTCCACGGAGGATGCAGTCAGCGTCTTGTCTGCCCATGTTTTCAATGGGCATATCAGTCATAACCTGGTAACTCCTGGTTTGCATCTTTTCCATTTGGGTTAAATAAGTAAGATTCACTAGGAAAAAGTCCCAAAGCCCAGTTTGAGATTTGATTCTCAGAGCTCTGTAAACAAAGGGAATCCCCCAACTTTGCTCAGCTGTCTCTTCCTCAAAGGAAAATGCCAACTGCTCAGTTATTGATTGGACTCATACTTGGAGTTACTTTGGATTTTGAGGGTTCCTTAAATTAGGTATACACGCAACATGCTTAGGAGAGAGCTCAGTTCACAGTAAATGTTCAATAATCGTTACCTTAACTAAAGAGAATAAACCCCAGTGACATGGACTGCTCCTGGGACCTCTTGGGGAGTATTGTGCTGGGGCTATTGATTCAACTAGGTTTGTCCCTCCGCAGAGATAATTGCTCCCTATGAGTCTGAACTTCAAACTCTGGCTTTGGTTTTTCTTTTCACTGATCTCCTTATCCCCCAAGCTGAATCCAACAATTGAGTTATTTGAGTTTTTCTCTTTCGGAGCGAGTGGTTCTGCCCCTTGACAAATCTCCCCATCGGAGGCTCGCACGCAAGGCCTGCTGCCTGTGTGATGATGGATGCAGCATCACTGACAAGTGGAGACGGCCACACGCATGGACACTGGCTGAGTGTCTCTGTAAAGGGCTGCCGTATTCTGGTGCCAGAGGCCCTGGGCCCCAGACTTCAGACATGCCTGGCCTCTGACACACACCCTGCCCCTCGCCGACCCCCTGCCTGGTCTCACCGTCATTGCTTTGTCTGTAGGTGCTCATCCCTGCCCTTGCTGCTGACACATGATGTTCTTTTTCGGAATCTGACTAACCAGGACAAAAATGAACAGGGAAGAGCCAAGAGCAAAGGATAGACACGATGCTTCTGGAGAGGAAAAGAGGCTCAGCCTAAGTTTCAAGACTCGTTATTAGTAGCAATTGTGTGGCTTTTCTTTTTGTCCAGCTAGTGGACAAAGACTTTAAAAGACAGTGCTAAACAAACACTCTTTTGTAACCCAGGATTTATTGTTCTGTGTGCGTTTGGGTACATACAAGAAGGAATATGATGATGAAAAGAACTGCATGAAGCAATAGAAATTACAGCTTTGTTATTAGTGCAGGGATAGACTAGCACACAATAGAACAGATGAGAGAATGCAGAACAGACCACACCTGTACACTAGATGCTAGAGGCAGTTATAGGGGACAGTGGCTATTTTGAGTGGTCCTGGGAAGCTTGTTTCCTTGAACATGGAAAAAATAAAATGGAGCTCTACCATATACAAAGAATAAAGAGGATGAGTAAAAAAATCTAGTTTTTTAAGACTACATTTGTTTGTTTGTTTGTTGTCAGGTGGCATGTGGTGTGGCATGCGTGTGGAGTTACAATAGCCATTCTTTTTTTTTTTTTTTTTTTGGTTTTTCGAGACAGGGTTTCCCTGTGTAGCTTTGTGCCTGTCCTGGATCTCGCTCTGTAGACCAGGCTGGCCTTGAACTCATAGAGATCCACCTACAGTATCCATTCTTAATGAGTGAGATAGTATCCACAAGGCATACACCCACAAAAGAAACAAACAAACAAAAATGGTCTGAAAGGGATAAAAATAGTATTATTCTCATATATAAAGCACACACATAAGAATGGTACAAAAACATATACTCACAGGATTAAAATGTCAGTGAAATGATTAGAAAACAAAAGTCTGAAAAACTTCAGAAGGTTGGAGGGAATGAGTGTATAGCATGCTTGAGGCCATTCCTTGCCATGTGTCTTAGTCACTGATCTATTGCTGTGAAGAGACACCATGACCTTGGCAGCTCTTATAGAAGAACGCATTTAGCTGGGGGCTTGCTTAAGTGTCAGAAGGTCAGTCCATCATCATCATGGCAGGCAGCATGGCAGCACACGTGGTACTGGAGCAGTAGCTGAGAGCTACATCCTGATCCACAGGCAGAGAGACTGGGCCTGGCATAGGTTCTTGGAACCTCAAAGCCCACCCCCAGTGACGCACTTCCTCCAACAAAGCCACACCTCCTAACCCTTCTAATCCTTTCCAACAGGTCCAGTCCCTGGTGACTAAGCATTCAAATATATGAGTCTATGAGGGCCATTGTTATTCAAACCACCACAAACATGATAAAGGGCAAAGGAGACATCACACATTTCAACACTGTAGTCACCGCGGAGGGTAGGAAGGGTGAGAACTGAGATAAAGGAGATACCCATGGAGCTTCAGTTAGCATCACTGGAAACATTCTGTCCCTTCACCTGGGTGGGATGGATTCAAAGGTTTTTATTTTCTTCAGCAATATGTATGGTAAATGTCTACTCATGCAGATATAATTCATTTCATATATATATATATATATATATATATATATATATATATAAAATTGGCAAGGTAGTAACTAGAAAAGTGAGGTAAAAATGAAGAGTACTTACTGGCCTGGAGACCAACAGCTGGGGAGGACGGCTGAGGAGCCATGTCCTCTGCCTCACCTTGGACTAAGCTTTGCTACACTGGCTGTGTTTTTTCACATCTGCTCCTCATCTGAACACCAAGGAAATAATGTCCTGCTCCCAAACTTGTTCTGATTAAATAAAGTTATAGTCTGTGGAGTCACGTGTTCCACCAACCAACACCCAGCAAATATTGTCTTCTCTATCTTGCCACTTAATTCTGTGCCTTATGGTTTATGCCTTTACAAGTTCTGACCTCTGTGATGTCCCTGACTTCGACCTCAGCTGACTGGGTGCTGCATAAAGACTTGGGCCTGTGTTATTTCATTTGTCAGCCTGCCTGGCTGAAGTCAAGAGCCCCCAGAATGCTCAGCTCACAGTTTCCCCACAGTTCCTTACAAACTAGATGTTAATAAAAAGAGAAATCAAGTTACTATCGTGGGCTCCCTCATCAAATACAATTGGGACTTCACTGGTCCCACTTTGTCCAAGATCCCTAGAGGATGCCAAAGACCAGAGATGGTGCTGAGACCTGTAAATAATGCTTTTTCCAATATGTAATGTCTATGATGAAGCTTAATCTGTAAATTAGATACAATAAGCTATTAATAGCAATGAATAGAATGAAAATAACACAATTATATTATAATACAAGTTATCAATTATTTGCTTCTGGAATTTGTCCTTTAGCATTTTCAGATTACAGCTGATGGTTGGGAACTAAAGTGAAGGAAGCTGAGCCATAGAATAAGAGAGCTATGGTGACTGTAAAAGTCATTTAGAATAGTGATCACTGCTAAAGGACACCGCCCCCCCCCATCTTAAAAAGTAAAATAGAAAATGAAAATGAACATACCTGCCTTCAGAACTGCAGGCTGTGGTGATGCATGCCATAATCCCAGAAAGTTGAGGCAGGAGCATTAAGAGTTTAAGACCAGCCTAGGCTGTACAGTACATCCCTGTTTTTAACTAATAACTTCAATAAGTAGGTAGCCTGAGACAGACGGACACGCACGTCCTTGTCAGCCGTTTGAGTGAGCGCCTCGTCGTCTTTCTCGCATTGTTTCTGTGCGATGGAGCAGGAACACGGTCATTCTAGAAGGCCAAGATCGAAGAGTTTGCGACAGACACGTCACCAGACCGGCTTTGTCTTTCTGAGCACGATGCCAGGCTGCACAGTGCTCTCTCCATGTAGCTGAACTGCACAGCGCTGCTCGGCCGGCTCCCGGAGGAGGCTCGGGATGGGGACAGAGAGGCTAAGTGGTGAGATGCGGGGTACCAGAGAAAACTTGACCCTACGCTGTAACAGTGTCTCTAGGCCTGTCCTTGGGCCTGTCCTCTTTGGGTGTGCAGGGTGGGGGTCCCGCAGTAAGGGAGGGGATCTCCGGAGGTGAGGACAGCAGGTTTTTTAGCTCCCCCGCCCCCCTTAACCAGCTTCCTGGATTCTCCCTCGCCTGGTCTGTGTTCTGAGGTCAGAATCTAGTTCACGGCTATTTAAAAATCTTAACTTGGCCCCTGAAATGCTGGTCAGTCGGTGCTCTTGGAATTAGAGTTTGTGAGTGTGATCTTCTAGGGCTGGTGGAAGCTCTTCAGATCCCTAGGAGATGTGTGTGTTTGTGTGTGTGTGTGTGTGTGTGTGTGTGTGTGTGTGTGTGTAATAAGTATGCACATGTGATTGCATGTGTTCAGAGATCTTGGACTTTCCAAGCCAGGCAAGCACAAATTGTACAGGAATCGATGTAAGGCGATGTACCCCCAGCTTATGGTCCCTCTAATTTGAAGGCGCTAACATGTCACTGAGATTGTTTTATTTTCCACAAATATTGCATTTGCCTCACACAGATCTCCTAGCATGCAGGGGAGGCCATGCAAGTCCAGCCTGCTTGTCATGGCAGGGCCTGGGGACAACTCATAGTAAGCATGGGATCTTACTGGAGTGCTGGCAGCCCTGCTGGGGGAATATAATGGCTACACGGAGTACAGACATGCCATCCTCTGCCCACCCACAGCCTGGATTAGGAGAGCTGCTAACCACCACCAGGAAAAGCATGCCGTGTTTGCGGGCCTCCTGGCCAGTGCCGTACCATTTATTGCTCATGGTGTAACTTGGGTTCTGAAGACATTGGGACTGGGCAGGAGGAGGGGTTTGGTTTGCTTGCTTGCTTGCTTGCTTTTGTTTTGTTTTGTTTTGTTTTGTTTTGTTTTAACAGAACAGGGACACATGGGGAGCCTTTTCCTCTAGCCTGGCACAGAATTGGTAGAACTCCCTAGAATACTTTCCTGATTTTCGAGATGTTCAAATCATAGCCCAGAGAAGCTCCTGACTTCCCCCAGTCATTTTGATCATTGCACGGGCTGCTACTTATAGCTCCTCCCACCTTTTTAAGAACTGAAATATTAAAAGTTTCTCATTAATTTTTATACTAAATGAATATTAGCATCTTGCATCTCTGTAGTCTAGAGACTTTGTGCAAGTTAGTTAATCTCTGTTTTTAAATCCATAAAGGAGGGTAAATAACACCTTCCAGGGTGATTGTGAGGGTGAGTAAGCTAAAGTGTGACACTAAAAACAAACAACAACAACAATAACAACAACAACAAAACCCCCACTTGGTCCTTACTTCCCCCTTCCTGCCCCCTTCCCCCCTGGTTTTTTGAGACAGGGTTTCTCTGTGTAACTAGCTGTCCCTTTGTAGACCAGGCTGGCCTTGAACTCACAGAGATCCGCCTGCCTCTGCCTCCCTAGCTCTGAGATTAAAGGCGTGTGCCATCATGCCCCCGTGCCCCACTCCTTCTTGCCTTTTAAAGACCACAACAAACCAAAGAAAATTCCCATTCCATTGACAAGCTGGGTGCAGATTCACATTGCAGAGCAGTGTAACTACATCTGTCCTAGGCAGTTCAGGTAAACCAAGGGCATTGCCCAAGGTGCCATGGGCAGGGCAGGACCCTGGAATGGGCACGAGATTGGGAAGGGGTGTGAACTGACTGAAAAGTCTCCAAAGAGAATTAAAGATTTTCTTCCCAGCTTAAAAAAACAGTGCTGAGGGGCTGGAGAGGTTAAGAGCATTGATTGACTGCTCTTCCAGAGGTCCTCGGTTCAATTCCCAACACCACATGGTGGCTCACAATCATCTATAATGAGATCTGGTGCCCTCTTCTGGCCTGAAAGTATACATGCAGACAGCACACTGTATACATAATAAATACAATCAATCTTTAAACAACAAAAACAAACAAAAAAACAAAAACCAGCCGGGTGGTGGTAGCGCACGCCTTTAATCCCAGCACTCGGGAGGCAGAGGCAGGTGGATCTCTGAGAGTTCAAGGCCAGCCTGGTCTACAGAGTGAGATTCAGAACAGGCACCAAAACTACACAGAGAAACCCTGTCTCAAAAACACAAAACAAAACAACAAACAAATAACCCCCAAACCAAATACAGCGCTGAAGGAGAGGCTTGCAGAGATGGGTGGAGGGCAGCTGCAGTGAAGAGCGGCTCTCAGGATGCCGCCGGGAGTCTCAGAGAGCAAGGACCCTGGTGGCTTCCCAGCAGCCCAAAGATCCCCAAGGATGACAAACGGGACATTCAGCCTCAGGTCTCCACGGTAAGCGTGTCATAGTAGAAAGTTGTGTGGGTGGCATGTCTGAAGAGACCTTCAACCCTCTGCAGCCACACCACGTAAGGGGGAAGGCGGGACTTCCTGAAGCCCCATGGGAAGAGGGACTTCAGCAGTGGTTTAAAACTGTTCTGGGTTCACGGCCCTTCTGGTTATAGCCCCTGTGCCAAAGGCATTTGCAAAGCAAAGAGGGCCTCCTGACTTGCGTTTTCACATC